ATTGACTCCAGTCAATTGGAATGTTAGGTCTCTGCCAAAGGCCAGGGACTCTCTTCCCTTGACCAATTTTCCCTCGTAGACCTTTATTGCTTCTCTAATATCACTACCTCTGAAGAGATATCCCTAAAGTCATTTGGGAGTCAGATGAAAGATAACAGCCCCCAAACATGTCTGGTATCTGTTATTCAGCAACTTGGAAGGGTTACACTACAATTGTACAACAGGAGAATACAGCGCTGCACTAACTCTGTAATCAGTAAACACACAATAAAGTTCATTGGTTATTCAGTATGCCTCATAGTGAGGGGTGGGACAGGGGGGTAAAGGCTCTATCTAAACTTGAACCAAGACTCTATCTAAACTCTGCTAACATTCATCATCATTTGAAGATTCCCTGTGTCATTCCATCTTCTCCCCTGATTGGATATATTTCCTGATTGGATATATGGCACTAAAATATGAATTTTATAGGCCTGAAAAAGCAGGATGCTAGGTCCTACAAATGTAACATGCCTCTTGAAGTGCATCTGCTTGATGGACTCCAGTGCTAAGGACTTGACAGACCCTCTCTTGGAAATTTCTGCAGAAGCTTCTATGAATAAACAAAAAGTTAAACTGTAAAATTTTTATCTTCATAAAACTGGTGGACATCCTTGCCTCTTTGGGTTTTCTTCAAAAGTATGAGAAAATTGCAGCTTTTTATAGTACAAAAATTCACAGGAGATGAAACTGATGCTAAACATAGCTGCACTTACCATTATTAGAAGCCAAAGTTGGTACAAAAACAAAACAAAACCTTATTACTTAATAGTGGCTGCTGAGCCTATGTTAACTTCTATCTTTAAAATTGATAGTGAGATGACATAGTGAATATTCATCTAAGAAGACTAACACACAATGGTTACTCCAGAACTTTAGAGACAAAGACAAGAGGATCATGGGTTAAAGATCATACTTGTCTACATAATAAAATCCTCATCTCTAAAATAAAAATTAATCTTAGATGCCTAGTGAATTTCCCAGAGAGGAATATTAAAGGAATCACGAAATTAATGTCTATGCTTTTTAAAATATCTTCCAGTCTAAAAAATGCATCCATGTTATTTTTTATATCATATGCTTGCTCATTTAAAGTTGCATCCTGTATGTGCAAAACACTTTACATCATTGAATAGTTAATGATAACCAACTTTGTTATTTACTATTTCAACAGTGTTTTCTTACTAGCATTGTATCACTTAATTAGTATAATTAATTGTTTCTAAATTGAGCTTTTCCAGTACTAGGAAAATAAATAAAAGGATATTTATTAAAGTTTGTTCCACAGCTAGAGTTCATTAAGGAAATGTTTTCAGACTAATCTAGATGATATTCTCATTTAGTTGTGGTTCATTGTTAATTGTAGCTGTTTATATTCTTTATAACATATTAATATATTTTAAAAGAATTTCATGAAACCCCCTAAGTGTGAGTTCATTTATTTAATTCCAAATGCAGTTTTTATTATTTCCCCAGAAATAACAGAATTGTATTCGTTAATGCTGATTTTTAATTAATTTAAAATTAATTATGTTTATAGATTTAAGTGTTATTCCTCTAGCAAACCCCTATCCTACTAGGATCCCAGATGGGGACCTTAAGGCTGCTAGCATGCTCATGATGCTTGTCATTAATTGGCTGACTTAAACTTGACATTCGGGCAGCCCTGCTGCCTCCACAGGAATTAGTGAGGTTAGGGTTAGGGTTATCAACAAGATGATCTTATGAAAACAACAAAACTTCAAAATTCAAAACAACAAAAATTCATTGTTTTAAGAAGTCTCTCCATTGTGAGCATTTAATTAAACATTTACACACAGATAACTTTGTGCAGAAGTAGAATAGAGTAGCAACAGTTCTAAGCCTTTGTCAATTTCCTGATCTGTAAAGTGGAAATGAAAAAGAAAGCTACCTTGGGACCTTCCCGAAGCGGGAGAGGGCACTGGCTACAGCAGCATGCCTAGTGCCCTCTAATACGATCACTCACTTGTTCATAAACACTGTCCTTGTATCAGGGAGTTCAACAATGAGCAAAACTGGTTCTTGCTGCCAAAGAAAGCAGAGTACGGTACTCTCTTCAGGAACCATTTTTCCAAGTTCCAAAATGCATTGTCACATTTCCTGGCTCACATGCCCTGTGTATAATAATAATTCCAAAATAGCATATATATTCAATATTCTCTGTCCTGTTCCTTTGAGCACGGTCTCTCACTGAACCTGACACCTCAATGGCCCTGGTGTTCTGAACAGTATTTGTGCTACAGGTGCATCGGCATCCATACCCAGCTTTGTATTATGTGTGCTAATTTCAAGCACAGGTCCTCATATTTTCACAGCAAGCATTCTTTCCTAGTAAGCACCTCTGTGGTACTGTCTTAGTATTTTTTTATTTATTTTTTCTTATTTTACATATCGATACCAGTTCCCTCTCTCTCTCTCCCTTCCTCCTTCCCTCCCATGCCCCCCCAACAGTGTTTTTAATTAAAAAATTGTTACATTTGCTTTTAAATTTCTTTTCTATTTTAATTAAAATATGTTTATATCATCCCTTCCCCTTTTCCCATCTCTGCTCACTCCATCTCAAATTCATGGCTTCTTTTTTTTTGTTATTGTTATATATGTGCATAATTGCATAGATCTATAAACAATCATTGAATCTGTTTATTGTTTGTTTATATATGTTTTCAGGGATGGTCACTTGCAATACAGTAGCCAGTTTGGGGGCTCATCCCTCATTACAAATAATCCTCCCTTTCTCAAAAGCTTTAGCCTTTAGCTTTATTTTTCCTGTAGAGGGCTTTGTGAGATTTTCAGCTTTCACAATAAAATGCTCATTTGTTTTCGTCACTGTTAAGGTCCTCTTTAGGCAGCAACATTGTTGAGAGATATCACTAGTGTAGCTTCATGACATTTCTAATAGACATAATCTCACAGCAGACTTTTGGTTCTCTGGATCTTACGCTTTTTCCACCTCTCTTCCATGATGTTCCCTGATACATCTGTTTCAGATATTTTTAATACTCCCATATGCTTTACTGTTAAAGAAGTCTAAAAAGTTACAGTTTCAAGATATTACAGTCCCACCTCCTTGTTCTCATTATTCCTATTGTCGCGGTTTTGTGGTCTGCTTATCAGGTTTAGTGACACACCAAAGTAATTTATATTCACAGTTTTACATCCTACTGTCATCAGACAAGACATAAACAAAAGGAATTTCCTGTTTCATTCATCTTTGAGGTCTAGTTGAGTGCATGTCCCAAGACTGGCTTAATCTAAAGTTTAGCCATAGGTTTAGGAGTTCAGACTTCTCTGAAACAGACAGCTTCAGATCCAACTACTGAAAGGGGTATATTCTCATGAGCAAGAATTGAACAAAGGAAGAAATGATATACCTTATACTTTAATAATAAAAATAAAATAAAAGTTTCATTTTTGTCTCACATTTCTTTTAACAAAAGTTTTCTTGAAAGAGATAATCATACAATAACATGCAAAAATTTTCACCATCTATTAACTTTTCACTTTCATAGATCTTGAAATTTGTCCATGGTAATTATTTTATATATGTGCCCTAAATTCATTAATTCAAAACAAAATCTCCTCTTTATTCTCCTCTATATTCTCACTTTTATTATCTGATACCCCTACCATTAAGTCCTCTATCCAAAACATCCAAATGGTCCCCACATCAACAAGCTGTAATTGTCTCCATCACCACTAATTTGTCCAGTCATCATTTTTTCCTGTAAAATTTTCAAAAATTGCATCCTAACTGTGCTCATCCTTATTCAGCTGTCCTAAGGTCTTTTCCCACTACTAAAGTCTGACAGAATTTAGGAAGTAATGATATTTCCATTAATGTCTTGTTACTAATAGCTCTCCATTAAACTTTTAATAGCATCTAATTGCTTTCCATGTTTGATTGGCAGCTGTCTAGTTTTCTTTCTTTTTGTGAAGCCAAACACCCAATGTTTAAAGATACAGCAGCAAAAGACAGTTTTGAACAATCTGTCTGGTTTGAAACTTGGCTATGCTACTAATGTACAAAATTCATTTGCTATCTTTTTCTATCAATTTCTAACATTGTAAACTGGAAATAAAAGCAAAGTAACAGCACCTTGTTTGGGGAGATTGCTCCCATTATTATCCATGAAAACATAAACACTTGAGGTCAGATCCCTAGCCACATAAATGCTAGGCTGATATGGTAGACTGCCTACAATCCTAGCCTTTGATAAGTAAAGATGGAAATTCTTGGGTTTGTTTGTGAACTAAGCTAGTCAAATCAGTAAGCCCTGAGTTAAAGTAAGAAAGTATGTCTTATCTGAGTATATCAGGTGGAAAGTGAAAGAGAAAAGCACTTGAGAGCAACCTCTGACCTCCACAGTCATGTGTACATGTGTATACTCATACGTGTATACGAACACATAAATGAACACATACACATTGACTATATTTACACACCACACACAAAATAATATTTTTCATAATTCACAAGGTTATTACAAAATTAATGTACAGAGAATATGTGTGTGTGTGTAGCTAACACATGGTAAATACCTCATTAATATTCACTGCTGGTATTTATAAGTTTGATAACTACTGGTTTTCTACACTACAATGGAAAATGTTAAAATGGAAAGTGTTTTATTCTTTAACATTTTTTCAGTGTCTAAACTTTGGTGAGTCACATAGAAAAGTTCTGATGGATATTAGAGGTATAAAGAATAAATGAACAATGGCTGTAAATGATGCTTCTGGTATTGCATGCTCACATTCATAGTCAGTTATTCTCACTGATTTTAATCTAAGCCAGGAAAAAAGTAGTCATACATTAAAGGGCATATATTGTGATACAGGACCTTGGTAAGCACCTTAGATGAATTATAAATGTGTCTCATAACTACCACATAAGATTAGCTGAATATTTCTTTATGGACATATTAAGAATCTGAAATTGAACACCCTGTCCATGGGCAAAGAGACACCTTCTTGGTGGTGGTGTTCTTATATCAGCCAGGGGCAGAGCAGAGAGCAGCCCTTTGTTCATTCATCCTAGCTTGATGCCTGGCTCGGTGGCCAAAGCTGTTTCATGCCTAGGGCACATTAGAAAAACAAAACAAAAAAAAAAAAAAAAAAAAAAAAAGAATCTGAAATTGAAAAATGTTTGAGGACTTTGATTAGGTGATAGAATGATTAGTGATACAACTTAGTCTTTGCCACATAAAACTATTTTCCCTCCACTCCCCTACTGAGATTCCAGCATTTTCCTATTTGCATTCTTTATTCTGAAGCCCAAGGTTTATCAACATGAGGACTCAAGAGTTAATGAACAGAAAGTCACATAGGCAAGACTGAGCAGGTCCCAAGAGAAATGTCTCAGGAGAATGAGGTTGTTTCAAATTAATGAAAAATAGTTGATAATTATTCTGAACATCAACATTGATAAAGCTTCCTACGGACATTCAGAGGTTACAAAACAAATGCAGCATGGAGATAGCACAAATTTCTATGCCACTTACTCTAGACATAATTCTGATTCTATCTCCATGAACCAATTATTGAAACCGCTGTTGTGAACTCAAAAAAAAATTCTTTTTAACTGATCAGAGGATTAGTTATTGTGTCTATTATAATACACAATCTTAGTCATTCAAACTCATTTCTCTGGACAAACATGTTCAATTGCCCAACATGATTAGAGTATTGTCAAAGGTACTTTAATTCTGATATACATTTCCTCTTATTATATTTACTTTTGCAGACAGTCTAACATGAGGATTTAAGTAACCAAAGAATTTTTTCCTTACTTACTGTAAGAGCTTGCAGAATGAACAGTGAGCAAATTCTTCTACTTACTTATTGTTAAGAATTTGCAGAGCAAATGATGAGCCTGACATGAATTGAACTAAGTACACTTCGAAAAAGGATTTGCAGGGTTTTTTCAATCTGTTAAAACTTATGCTATGTAAGGTATTTTAATCTTAGACATATAAATCCATCCATTTGATAGACAAAGAGATGAGTAACTACTATGACCTAAACAGAAAAAATACTTTTGTCTCCTCCACCACAAATCTCACGTAGTGTGATGACTACTTCTTTATTCTTTTCTTTTTTTATTTAATTTATTATTTTACATGTCTATCCCAGTTCCCTCTCCGTCCCTCCCTCCCTCCTTCCCTCCCTTTTACCTCTCTGCCCTCTCACATGCACCCTAACCACCCTCCCCTCCCATCTCCCCACCCCAATTCCATATGTAGGGGAATGCCATCCAGTTGGGGTCATGTAGATCTGACAGGTCATGTGAAGTAGGGACTAGGACTTCTCTCCTGTCTCTAGATTAAGGCAGTTATCCCTCCATGGGGGATGTGTTCGCAAGGTCCTTTTACACTTGCGACTAGGAAGATTGAGTCTGGTTAGGAATAGAAGACAGGAGGGAGAGAGAGAGAGAGAGAGAGAGAGAGAGAGAGAGAGAGAGAGAGAGAGAGAGAGAGAGAGAACATAAAAGAGGGAGCCAATATTGGTTTGAAGAGAAAATTGAACCCAAAGAAAGGTCTAGAGAACTACAAGACTGCCACCAACTAATAATTTGAGCATCCCTGGTGGAAAGGCTACCATAAATGCCCTTCCCAGATAGTGAGATCAACAACTAACTTATCCATGGAGCCCTCATCTAATACCTGTTAGAAACAGGAGCAAACACCCATAAATAACACTGAGTCGAACTAGAACCCAGATGCAGATGGAGAGGACAAAACCAGGCTGCAGAAACACATAGAGACAGCTGACCTGAACAAGGAGGAGCGAATGGCCACTAGACTGATAGCTGGGAAGCCAGCATGGGACTGACTCAAGCCCCCCTGAATATGGATCTCAGCCAGAAGGACTGAGCAGTCTAAGAGACCTCAGACAGTGGAGCCAGGATGTACCCCTGGTGCACAAAAGGACCTTTTATATTTTATGTTATTTTTATTTTACATATTGATCCCAGTTCTCCCTCTCTCCTTCTTCCCCTCTCTTCCACCTTCTCATTCCCCTGACTACCCTCTCCTCCCATCTCCCTCCGCCCCGACTCCACATGTAGGGTGATGCCCTCCAGGAGGGGCCATCAAAATCTGCAAGTCATTTGGAGCAGAGACTAGGCCCTCTCTCCTGTCTCTAGGTTAAGGGAGCATACCCACATGGGGAATATGCCCCCTAAGTCCTTTTGTGCACTAGGGATACATCCTGCTTCCACTGTCTACGGTCCCTTAGACTACTCAGGCCTTCTATCTGAGACCAATGTTCAGGGGGGTCTGAGTCAGTCCCATGCGTGATTCCCAGATATCAGTCTGTGGGCCCATTAGCTCCTCCTTGTTCAGGTCAGCTGTCTCTATGTGTTTCTGCAGCATGGTCTTGCCCTTCCTCCTTCTCTGCATTTAGAGTGCAGTTTGGCTCAGTGTTTATTTGTAGGTGTTTGCTTCTGTTTCCATCATCAACTAGATGAGGGCTCTATGATGGGAGATAAGTTAGTGATCAATCTCATTATCAGGGAAGGGCATTTATGGTAGCATTTCCACTGTTTCTCAAATTGATAGTTGGAGTTAGTCTTGTAGGTCTCTGGACATTTCTCTAGGTTGTTTTCTCTTCAAACCTATAATGGGTCCCTCTTTTATGGTCTCTCTCTCTCTCTCTCTCTCTCTTTCTCTCTTTCTCTCTCTCCTGTCTTCTCTCATCTACTCCTACCCTGACTCAATCTTCCCATGTGCTTTCCTCTCCTCCCCTTCTCTTTCTCCTAGTTCCCTCTCCACTCATTGTTGCCAGTTGCTCAGGAGATCTTGTCCCTTTCCCCTTTTGTGAGGGACATTATATCAGTCTCTTAGAATCCTCTTTGTATCCTAGTTTCTCTGTTGGTGTGAATTATAGGCTGTTGACCCTTTGCTCTAGGTATAAAATCCATATATGAGTAAGTACATACCATGTTCCTCTTTTTGTGACTGGGTTACCTCATTCGGGATGGTTTCAAGTTCCATCTATTTACCTGTGCATTTCAAGATTCCATTTTTTTCCCACAGAGTAGTATTCCATAGTATAAATGTGTCACATCTTCTTTATCCATTCTTCAGTTGAGGGGCATCTAGGTTGCTTCCAGGTTCTTGCTATTACAAATAATGCTGCTATGAACATAGCTGAGCACATGTCTTTGTTGCAAGGATGTGGATCATTCAGGTATATGCCTAAGAGGGGGATTGCCGGTCCTGTGGAAGACTGATTCCCCTTTTGCTGAGAAACCACCATACTGATCTCCAAAATGGCTGTACAAGTTTGCACTCTCACATCCTCTCCAGCATAAATTGTCAATGGTGTTTTAATTTTAGCCATTCTGGCAGGAGTAAGATGGTATCTCAAAGTTGTTTTGATTTGCATTTCCCTGATGGCTAACGATGTTGAGCACTTTCTTAAATATCTTTGAGCCTTTTTGATTTCCTCTATTGAGAGTTCTCCATTCAATTCTGTACCCCATTTTTTAAAAGGGTTATTTGGTGTTTTGTTGACTACTTTCTTAAGTTCTTTGTATATTTTGGAGATCAGCCCTCTGTCAGATGTAGGATTGGTGAAGATCTTTTCCCAGTCTGTGGGCTTCCATTTGGTATTGTTAACTGTGTCCTTTGCCTTACAGAAGCTTCCAAGTTTAAGGAGGTCCCATTTAGTAATTGTTGATCTCAGTGTCTGTGCTACAGCAGTTGTTATATTAAGGAAGCAGTCTCCTATACCAATTTTTTCAAGAGTATCTCCCAGTTTCTCTTCCAAGAGGTTCAGTAGATTTTCACAATACATATCTACAAATTCTGCCCTACAGGAAGTTCTGGTAGGAAAACTCCAACCCAAGGAAGTTAACTATGCTCACAAAGACATAGGTAATGGATAATTCCACTTCACCAGAACCCAAGGATAAAGCAGGGCAAATATATTAACAATACCACTGCCAACAACAAATCTAAAAAAACAAGCATTAGCCATCAATGATCCTTACTTTCCCTAAACATTAACGGTCTTGACTCACCTATAAAAAGACACAGGCTAACGGAATAGATACAAAGACAGATTCCATCCTTCTGCTGCATACAAGAAACACATCTCAGCTTCAAAGATAGATATTACCTCAGGGTAAAGGGTTGAGAAAAGATTTTCCAATCAAATGGACTCAAGAAGCAAGCAGGTGTGGCTATCCTAATATCTAACATGTCAGACTTCAAACCAAAATCAATCAAAAGAGATGAAGTTCCTTTCGTATTCATCGCAGGAGAAATCCATCAGCACAAAGTCTCAATTCTGAACATCTATGCCTCAAATACAAGGCACCTACATTCATTAAAAAACAAAACAAAACAAAACAAAACAAAACAAAAAACTAGTAAAACTGAAAGCTCACATAAAAGCTCACATACATATAGTGGGAGACATTAACACTCCACTCTTACCGCTAGACAGGACCACCAGTCAGAAACTTAAATTCAAAGGAAATGGACAAGTTTCTGGATAACTATCACTTACCAAAATTAAATCAAGAACAGACAAACAACTTAAATAGACCTATAACCCAAAATGAAATAGAAGCAGTCATCGAAAGCCTTCCAACGAAAAAAAGTCCAGGGCCAGATGGATTCAGTGCAGAATTCTACCAGACATTCAAGGAAGAACTAATACCACTACTCCTCAAACTGTTCCACAAGATAGAAACAGAAGGTTTATTGCCAATCTCTTTTTATGAGGCCACAATAACTTTGGTACCCAAACCTCACAAAGACACAACTAAGAAAGAAAACTACAGACCAATATCCCTGATGAACATCGATGCAAAAATACTCAATAAAATAATGGCAAACCGAATTCAAAAATACATCAGAGAAATCATCCACCATGATCAAGTAGGCTTCATACCTGGATTGCAGGGATGGTTTAACATACAAAAATCTATCAACGTGATCCACCATATAAACAAACTGAAAAAGAAAAACCATATGATTATCTCCCTAGATGCAGAAAAAGCCTTCGATAAAATTCAACACCCTTTCATGATAAAGGTATTAGAGAGGTCAGGGATAACAGGAACATACCTAAACATA